ATTACTATAAAAATTATTTCATCTTGAAAGACAATACCTGGGGGAATTTTTTCACAATTATTTTCCTCTGTCAGCTTTCTAGAGCTCTATCAGCCAAGTTAGAGAAACTATTACATCTAAAAGCAACTCAAAGAATTTACATCTTTACAAACTAAATCTTCCAGCAGACATCCTCTTGCTAAAAAGCAGCGTACAGGCCAATCTTTGAATGAAAGCAACTGAGAGATGAATGTATTTAGGACAGAGGAGCATTTATACTTAGTTGTATTTATTATTTGTATTTGCATGAACACTTCCATTTGCTTGAAAGTCCTCGCTCTTTTCATAGTTCATTGACATAAAATCCCTTTCAGACATCAGAGAGGTTGCCATACACATAAAATGATAAGTGATAGCTTCATAGTTTCAGGGTATCCATGGCTTATAAGGAAAAAATTTAGTAGTTAAACCAATCCACAATGACAGATTTGGACAACCTTCCTCTGTGAACTTCATTTGGTAGAGAGTTATAATAGCTGTGTTGTCTCATACTACAAGGCTTGGATCAACAAAAAACTGTCTTCTTTTTCCCCACCTGTTGGATGAGAGGAGGGTCCCCTTGCATTCTAACTGACCTTCCGCCGAGTCTCGGGAGACATTTATTCCTAAAGAATCAATCTCAGAAAGTGCACTAGGGGTAATAGCACCTTTAAAGTCTGCTTCCCTGTTTACTGATTTATCAGGCTACCCCATCACCAGCTTAACTTGTCTGTTGGCAGCCCATCCATTACGTCACGTGGGATCCCCTTTTGCCAGCCCTTTGCCCACAAGCTACTGCGCTTCTTTGGAAAGTCCCTCCCCCGAGATGGTTTTATGAGGGGCGGCTTTTTTGCATCACCAGAGCGCGGGACCATTTTAACTTCGGCCCGCCTTAGATTTCTGGTGGCTGAAGGGCCAACGGGGCCATATTTGCGCCCATAATTGATTAACTCTTGGGCTACTTCACCCCAAGTCCACACTTTCCTATCTGGGGGTCCGCGAGGCTGATCAGGAGCAAATCCCTCTAAAGCTGCCTCTATTTTTCCCTGTATTTTAATCCCAATTGGTTTTAATGAGTCGGGGAGTCCCCTTATAAGGGGAGTCATTCGCTCGGGATCCACCAGCATCACCATTGGGGATTCCTGCCTAGGTTCTAATTTCCAATCGTACATCATTTGCAGGCAAGCCGCTTTCTGCACACTTTCCACCAATTGATCAATAGTTCCCATAATTGCGAGAGGATCCCCCCTTTCCAGGGGGTTCAACCCTCCTGCCCAATAAGCCGCTCACTGGGTAGGAGACCAGGGGGCTCGGTGGTCTCCGGTAGTTAAGAATAGTCCTGGCCCCCAATATCCTTCCACCTCCCTTTCACTGAGCAAAATTTGATCCCCTCCTGATAGTGACACTCTCCACACATAATCCGTCTCTGATTCCTTTGGGGTTCGGCCAAAATCCTTTTTCAATTTCACCAATTCAGTGGCAGTGTAGGGGATTTCTTTAGTTGTAACTTGGGGAAAATGGTCCTGCTCATCTTTGTAACTGTATTTGGTTTTAACTAAGGGTCGCAGCGAGGGTGGTTCTGGTCTCTCTAATTTTTCTCTCACTGCCTGCAGGTCATTAATAGGGTAAATAGTTTGATGGGGTGCCTCCTCACAGACGGCATTCACAAGCAGTTGCTCCTTAAGAGCAGCTTGTAAAATTTTAACCTGGTCCTTTTCCTCTTTCAGTTGTTTTTTTTTAATTTGCCAGCTTGTCCCCGCAGGGTTTGAACCAGGGTTTGGAGAGATTCTATGGTCTGAGATTCAGTGGCATGAGGGCAGTCTCTCGCCCCCGCTGCCGCTGAGCACGGCACAAACAATGGCTTTCCCTTTCCCAGAGCGGACCCGAGCGTCCTCCCGCAGAGCAACCATTCGGCCTACGACACTCTGCAAATTGTGCCAACTGTTCTGTGCCCAATCTATGCCAGGCACAGAAGGCCGGGCATTGTATTTGTCAAAAAAATCAAACAGAACTTCCTTGCCCTTAGGGGCAGTTACTTGGTCACTCATATCTCAGATATGAAGGGGGCAGTCCTCCCAGGAAGGCAGCACGTAAATTCTGAACACTTCACACTATCCTGCCCCCTATTTGTTCCTGGGAGGTCTCACTTACAACAAGACGAAACAAGAACCAGTGGACAATATGACACTCTCCCTCCGAGGGATCCTGTCCGTGACACCAATTAAAAGATGTTACGATCCGATTTGGAAGAGAGGAGGGTCCCCTTGCGTTCTAACTGACCTCAGACGAGTCTGGGAGGCCAGGGGCGGCTAAACCAACCTCTCATTTCAGGTTCGATCCATTCGAGCGAGGTTAAGACACAAATGAGGTCAGATGCCATAAGTCCACCCGTTTATTAACCACTTGGAGAAGAGAGAAAAATAGCGATAGAGAAGGAAGGAAAACAAGAGAGGAAAATTAAGCAACAGTTTGGGATAGGAAAGCACAAACAGTCACCACCATGGATCCGCGGTGTCCCAGGGGTCCGTGCTTCTGGGGTCTTTGGTGGTGGGTGAATCACACCAGGGTCTTTGGTCATGGGTGATCACACTGGGGTCTGGGGTGGGGGTCTTTTATAGGCTGCGTGCCTGAGGCAACAACTTCACACTTGCGCAGACCTCCCTCGCGTCCTGCTTGCCCAGGGCGACGGCACATTGCCCGCGTGTCCGAGCCCCGCTATGCCCGGGGTCTCACGCGCCGACCATGTGCACAACCCACAGCCCATCATCTGCTCCGAGCGGGCTGTTACCAGGGCCTCGCCGCCGTCCTTGTTGCCGTGTGAGTGGGTGACACCCCGCACACTTTCCTGCAAGGCCCTGCCAGCTTCATGCGGGCAAGCGTTGCGACAAATGTCCAGCCATTTCGTCCCTCACACCACCACAAAAAAATCACACAAACTTTTTGCTCTTCTGGGGAATGCATTGTCTTGGAATTAAGGAAGCAGGTTTCAATTCAGTAAGTACTGGAAGAATTGAACAGGAAACTTCTACTGAGCAGGCAATGCACTTTCTACATAATCACTGTAGCAACTAATGTTTAGGAGTTTTCCCCCTCATTCGCCCATTTTCCTCTAAAATAAATCAAGAACATGATGCTATGTGGCTGGCAAGAGTGTTAGTGGCTTAAACAAGGAGCCAGCGAATGCTGTCAGGGAGCCAGAACAGTTTGCCTTCACCTCTCTATACACAGCCAAGAAGAACTTAGCAAACAAGCATGTGGAAAAACTTTATGCTGTGAGGCTTATGCACCTCACTCAGAGCAATAGCCACACCCATCCCACTGGGAATCAGCAGAGCAAGGTTAAACCCTTCCTTTAAAGTACAACCAGCATCAAGTGCCTGGAACATCTATATCAAGAAGTAGTTTTCCATTTGATTCTTTGCTTACTAGAAGTGAATGTGTCCTTTCTCTCCAGAAATGCCCTCCAAAGACAGATAGCGAAATGTATGTCTCTCTTGTACTAGGGAAGAGAAAGACAGCACCCTTCTGCTACAGCTGGGGGGAAAAAAAAATTATATAGGGGGAAAAAACAGAAGGAAAGTCCTTTGGCATGTTGATAAGGCACTTAGCGGTGTATGTAAGTCCTAGGTTTGGGTCTAGCTTGCGTTTTGCATTAAACTATAGATAAACATTAAAGAGCAGATAAAATACAAATGATGAAGACTATTTCTAAACTTTGTGGCTATGCTTATGTTATATGCATTCTGACCACCTCAAGGATTAGACCACTAAGGGAATTTAGGCTGGCAATACCTAGCTTCTGGACCTTGATTTGGTTTAAGAGTAATAAGGAGCACACCAGGACCAATCCAGCTCTGACTGGGACAAAAATCTGTACATATTGGGACACAAATCTAGGCACCTCAAGATTTTAAAAAGAAACAGTAAGGCTCCTGCAGGGTTTGGATGTTACCAGGATTAAGTAGTATCCGTCACAAAATTCTCAGAATTTTAATTTTGGCTATTTAGTGCCTAATTTTTGCCTTACGTATCAGATAACCCTTGTGCATCTTATTTCTATTTGATCCATAGTCTTTGAACAAACTTCATTGACTTCATTCATAAACTGTTTATCGTTCCTTCTGCTTTGATATTGTCCTTGGCAAATGGCCTGTCAGTGATGCAGGAAAGTGTACATGTTGGTATTCAGCTAATGTACAGTTGAGACCCCTAATGACTCATGCTATTATATAATTGCCTGAGATCACCTAAAGGAAAGAAACAAGATCATTACAAAAACCTCAGTCCATCTTATAACGTTTGTGCTCCTAACACAGAATTCCCTATTAAAGACTCTGAAATGTCTATTGAAGGCTGATGTAACAATTTTGATTGTATTTACATTTGAACAGTCTCCAGCTATTCTAATTGTTTCGCCTGCATGAAAAGGGATGAAGGCCAAAAAAGGTCAAAATGAAATTAAAAGATAAGCAAAAATTAGAAGATGAAGATGCTACATTTACCTCAGCCAGAACTATAGATTATTTTTTAGGTCAGGGTTGATATCCAGTGTCTGAGCTCTATATCCAGAAACTACTGCAGATAATGGATTAGGTTTACTGGTATATTTTAATATATTGGAGCAGTAAGGATTCCTGGTAATATTGATCTGAAATGTCAACATTTCTCTGCTTCAAATTAATCCAAAGCTAACTTGACATACTGTCATAGCTTTAATAAAATTTGACATTTGATATTCAGAAAGAGGAATCAGAGAACACCAGAATCACAGAAGATATTTTCTAAAAGAAAATGGTGTATAGTGGTGACATTTCTTTATACAATAAAGATTTTCCCTTCTTTACACATAACTCCTGGTTTTCTAGATATTATTTCATTTTTTTAATTTTTGCAACCAATTCATATGTATCAATGAATGCTCTTTATTCAAACCCTGTAGCACTGATAGATAGCCTGCAGTAAACATGCCTTATGGAGAAAACACACATGCAGTTCAGATATATGATGGCTGGAAATGAACATACGAAAAAGTACAGGTTGCTCAAATAGCTAATGCAGTCTACTGAGCACCATCAATGGCAACTTTTCTCAGGAGAGAAAACAGGAAAAAAATTTATGGTTAGTTGAAAAGTTAGACAGGTGTGGCCAGTTATTATATCTGAAATAAATAGATTTAAAATCCAAACTAATGTGGTAGCAGACTTAATAATTACTATAAACAAGCAACAGAATAGTAACGAGAGCTCAGCTGTGCACGTACACTGCATTTGATCCTTGGGCTGGGAACACTTTCTGTTTTCAATCCTGTATTGGTCTCCTGCACAAAACTTTTATTCTGGTGTTAGTCAGAGAGTCAGAAAATTACCCAACACAAATAAGCATACATGCACATTACATAACATACTTAGCAATTCAAAGACAAAGAATTTAAAAGCTTGAACAAGATCATCCAGGAAGAATATACAAAGGCGTGGAAGAAATTCCTCCCATCTAAGACATCAAAAGAAAGAAAGAGCTGGGATGCCTGTAAAAAGTTTGAATAGGATTTCCTTCTACAAATAAAGACCTCCCCTTATAAAAACACTTTTACAAATGCACTATGAAAAAATCAAGTTTTGAAAATTCAGATATAATGGAACAGATGACATAAAATTGCTGCATAATGAAAAAAAGAAATCCTTGTTGTCTTTTGCATTTTGAGTATTTTCACATTTTCCTGGTCAGCATATCTCATTTCTTTATTTTCATACACTTCATAGTACATGTTCCAAAAGATTTTGTTTGGTTTTAACACTAAGTAAAATGAATATCGTGTTTCCCTAATTTAATCTTTTTGTCAGATACAATATATCAAATTTAATTTACCTCTATAACTAATACTTGGTAGGAAATTGGTTAATTGAGTTATACATTTAAATATTTTTCTTGCAAGTAATGGAATATATAAAAATAAATCACATTTCACTCAGGCATTTTATGGTATGTTACCAGCAAATGTCCAAAGAAGCACAAACCTTAAGCATTTAAAGTTTGAAACAGTTAACTTGCAGCTGAATCTTTATAACTTCTCATCTAAAAAAAGATTTGTAAAAGTCTAATGAACTGTTACAGATGAGAACTGAAAATTATCACATACTAGATTCTTCCTCATCTTTAAAAGAAATACAACCTTTAGTTGCAAACAAAAATAAATTCCAGTATTCTCATTTATTATGTTAAATCATAGAAAGGGTAACTATAATAATGCATCAGAAATTTCTTTTTTTCACCTTCACTGGCCTAGAAACAAGTGAATATATTTCCCTCACTTAAATAAAAGACATATCTGAACTGAGATTAAAATTAGACATATATTCCTGAACAGATAAATATGATAGTACTGTACTCTGATGACTATAACTGTCATGCTTGAGTTGGCCTCCCCTTCTCTAAAATAGACTTCTTTATGTATCACACCACGTTACAGAATACTGTTAATCTTCAATATGTTAAATACACTGGGGTGGGGGGTGGGGGTGAATCTTGTGGGTTCTACTCCAAGAAAGTGCATTTGAGACAGAAAAACATGTCAGTTTTGGGGGGAAAAAAAAAAAATCCACAGACAAACCAACCCACAACAAAACAAAACAGAAGAGCAATTTCATGGAAATTTAAACCATGCCTCCTGTGATAGGAGGTACCTTATAAAACACAGGTTGGAGCCTTTCAGACATAAACATTTAAGAAGGAGATAATTTAAATCTGTTGTTTGCTGGGGTTTTTTGTTGTTTTGGGGTGTTTTTTGTTTAGGGTTTTTTCCACCCCCTAAATGAATATAAGGCTGTAAAATGGACTTTCTAGGAGACTACAACCGACCTTTTGTTATTATTAGGATGTATGTGACAACACCACACTCAGGATAATTTCTTTAGTATTAGAATAATTTTGAACTTTAAAGCTTTTCTGTTATCCTCTAATTATAATGAACTTGTTACAGTTTTCAAAAGCAATGTGTATTCAACATATATAGCAAGAAGAGTGGGGAGTAAAGTTTGCACACAGTGTCGAC